CTCTACATCGTTCCTCATCTCCTCATACCTCTGTTTCCTTTCTCCTCTTCTTGCCTCCTTTGGGGCCTCCACTCCTGCTGCTGCGGTGGGAACAAGAAAAGCCGGAGTTCTGCGTTGCTCCGCTCTGCTCTTTATAATGGCAAATGGGACTAAATTGTTGTTTTCCTGTCATACACACACATACAAGTCTTACATACACACACTCACTCGCTTGCAGAGGAAGGGGGTTCAAATTAAGCTGTCAGCCTGTGGAGAACCATCATTCTGTCATACCAGCACGTTCCCGCTATTTTCTGCCTCTAACACATACACTCACTCACACACGTATGCACGCACATGCACACACACACACACACACACACACGCACCACTTCCCTTTCACTTTTCCCCGACGAGCTTGTGTCCCCCTCCAGGCTTGAGGCAAAACTAAACATCAACATGGGAAATAATAAAGCACTCACGCTGCTTCAGAGCAGCATCTGTTTGCGCTCATTAACCTGACTTGTATATATGATTCAGTTTCCCATTCACTCACTCACTTGACTCTTGATTCGCTCGCTCGCTCAGTCATTGACTCGGCTACTACATACTGTCATCCACTTACACCGCGCTCCCCTCTCTTCACATTGGGTTCCATTAGTCACTCATCAACAATGCACTCCATACTTCCTCACTCCCTCCTTTTTTTTTAGTATCTTTAGTGTATGTTGAGCGCTCCACAGTTTCATTTCATGACAAATTCTTTCTTGGCGCAACTTTAAAAGAGCCTCTTTTCTTCTCTGTGGATGTTATTATGGAGTAATCATCCGGCCTTGATCAGTTTTGTCACTGGAGACCGGAGGAAAAGGGGGGGCGGCTGCCTGAAAGGCTGTCGACTCGCTTGGCTCGCTGACTGGTTGAAGGACCGAGGATCTGACTGGGTGGCTAAGGTTAATGTTCCACTCGGTCAGTTGACTGACTGAAAGGCCAGCGGCGTGGATGAAAGGGCGAACGACTGGCAGGTTAAAGTTAACATATTCAAAGACCCCCAGGTTTACATCAGGAAAGCCTCGCTTAGAGCTCTGGCGTCGGCCGCTCTGCACATGTGTGCACGGTTCAAAACACATGGACACACAGGCCTTCACTTTCTTCTTTTCCTCAGCCAGCTTCTTCTCTCTGTGTTTATCGTGTGCTCCATCTGCCTGCAGTATCTGCCATGCCTGATGGAGGGTGTGTATATTATCCTGTGCGTGGCCCTCTGCGTACAATCAATCACACACACTATTGTGGTCTGTTTGGCTTGTATGCATGTGTGTGGAGGTACTGTAGTGATTTGGGCTGGGGGGGGGCTGCCCGTGCTTCTGCATTAATCAGGCTTGACCACTGAATAGTTGCCCCGTGTCTAAGCATGCTCAAACACACACACGTCGGGTATTCATATCTTATGGGTATATCTAATTGACATAAAGCTTTCCCTATCCCCTTACCCTACCCCTAACCATGATATATGGATGCCTAACCCTATACCTAACCCTTACCCTATTGTAACCCTGTCACTAAAGCCACATTTTGAGTCTCAGAAATGCCTTCAGACTTGCAGGAACCAGGATTTTGGTCCTCACACGTGTAGTAAACGTCCATTTCTTGGTCCCCACAAAGATATGATTACACACACACACACGCATTTTAGTCTTTTTTAAAAAACAAAAACAAAAAAACAACTCATGTTCTATACCAAAAAAATTAAAAAAAAAATTTAATCGGCCTTTTACAGTTTTTTTTCTGTCGTGTAATATTTTAAGGTGGATAAATTATGGAATGTCTCTAAATATCTGTAAATGTAATGAGTGTTGTTTGCCTGAAAATTCCTCTATATGGTTTAACCTTAAAACTGACAGCTTACTATAAATTTGCTGCTTAACCTGTTATTAATTAAGGCTTTTGTGTTTTCATCATATTATATTTAAGTCTTTGATTGGTCTCTGGAGTGCGGAGTTACAGTGTCATATCCTTACGGATAAAAGGGATTTTTAGAAAGTCTGTTGTATTATACACAGCACGATGAATCCTCTCATTTTATGTCTCGTAGTGTTTCTCTCTATTGTTTTCCTCACAGTGAATAAATTTTCCAGCCCTTCTTGCACCGCTGCAGACAAACTTTCAAAGAGTAACTTTGATGCTGTGAAATGACACAAGCTAAATGATTTCAAATGTGCTCAGTTTTACGACTTCTGCCCCACTCGAGTGCTGTCAGTAACACCAGCAAAAAATAGATAAGTGGAAAACAGTATGAAGTTGCATATTTTGGCTCCGTTTGAAAATGTTATTTAAACAATACAAGGCCTCATGTGTGTTTGTGTGTGTTGGCAGGTGGACAGCGACACCATTTGGAATGAAGTCCATTCATCCAGCGCAGCGCGTCTGGCTGTTGGCTCTGTGGTGGAGCTCGTCTTCAAAGTAGCATCGGGAGAACTGAAGGTTGGTTTGGATGCTCCGTGGAGTTCGATTAGTCATGGCTGTTTGCAGGGCTGCAGTGTATTTTTAGGCATTGGAGCACTTGTGGCCTATAGGAGCGGGTAAATGTGCGTTAACCTTTAGATGCTATGTGAAACCTAACTCAAATGGACTCTGCAGTATAATTGGTCCCCTCCAACTTCGAGGGGTTTGATTTTAATATCCTTGTTAAGGTCTTACTGCTTTAGTCGATTTTCCACCTGAGTTCCAGTCACATAGGCTTACAGACAGAACAAGGCCCAGCGCAAAGAGAGCACTATATCAGGCCACCTCTAGTAATGTGCTATACGCCCGTACTTCCAGACACTTTCAAAAAAGAAAAAGAAAAAGAAAAAGTTCCAGAACCAACTTTCGCACCTCCCAGACAGACATCCCCACCCCATCACGCCTCTCCCCATCCCAGCCAGACTCATGCGTCTGTGTCGGTGGCGGCTTGCTGTTTGAACCCAGCAGGGAGACCCGGTGCACACGCACCGCAAGCGCCAGCAGTCCCCATTAATAGGCCCCCTTTAGAAGTGTTGCACCAAAGCTACCTGCAGACCAGGTTAGCGTTAGCTTTGCACCAGTATAGCACACTATCTTGTGATTTTCTGTAGCAAGAAACAGTAGCACACCATGCTGAAACCCAGCTGAGTTTTGGGTGGGGTTGCTAGCATCCTGTTGAGTGGGCATGAGTGATTGTGCATCACTTTGCACAATTAACAACAACACAGTTTAGTTTGAGTGATTTCCTGCTTAAAGTTTGCTGGTATTGACTTACCCTCAAATTAATGCTTGTATACACACGCACACACACACACACACACGCATACTTACACACATGCAGACGGTTCTCTGAGGATCCTTCATGGCCAAATGACCAAATTCCACCTGCACCAACAACTCTATGAACTCCACAGAAAGCCATAAATCTACTGAAGGCACACATTCACACTCACACACACACACACACACACTTCTGTCTCTGCGTCTGCTACTTTCTGTTTCCCCCCACGTCTGTTTTAATTTAATTACTTTTTTCTTTGTATAGAGAAACTTCACTCACTCACATACATATGGTACCGTACAGAGTTCTTTAACCGTGTGTGGGGAACCCAGTAGAGGCAGTTGTCGCTACAGTAATCTTCCGGCTGGCTGCTAATCCGCTGCAGCTGACTCAACATCATTAGTCCAGTTTGCAATCGCTCTACATAAGCTCAAACATCTATCTAATGTCCCCACATTGCGCTGGGACCCTCCAAAAACAATTGCTTGGAGTCCTGCCTTGACAAAGCTCGCCTTAACAGACTCATTGTTCCCGTGAGGACACGCATGCACTTTCAGTGGGAGAAGCTAACATCTGTATTCTTTAGAATACAGAAATAGATTTTAATACTTCTGAATGTATTTGTGTTCTTTCTGTTCTTTCTGTTCATCTACTCATTACTCGTCCTTATGGGGTAAATAGCGATGCTGGGAAAATAATGTGTTCATTGTTATAGTCCAGTTGTGTTAGCATGCCTTTTAGGTTAATTTGTGATGAGTTGGCTGTAAGTATGAATGTGAGAGTGTGTGTTTATGCGTCACTGTGTGTTAGCCCTGTGATGGATTGGACACCTGTCCAGGGGACCACACGAGGGGCTAATTCAGCCTGTGTAGGCCCACTATCCCAAGCCCCCACGTTAAATAAGCAATTAAGAAACTGTTCAAGCGCAGTCTTTATGGATTTCCATGTGTGGGTTTTTGCATCCAGCAGTGGATTTGTGAAACTATTTTTTACTAGTCTTTTAAATGAAGTGAGCAGGCGTGTCATCTGTGATCTGTTTTTGCCGACAGAATGGCTTCGCTATCGTTCGACCCCCTGGACACCACGCTGAGGAGAGCACACCTATGTAAGTAATCCACACCTCATCTTACAAAGCTGTTTTCCTCATCCTCTTACATTCAGTGTTTCTGTACTTTTTATACAGCACTTACTGCATGTTGCAAATGATATTGCTTAAGCATGAGTATAAAATTTAAAATGTCATCATTTTGTTGCTGTCTTCTTCTTCTCTTTTTTTTTTTTTTTTTTTGTTCAATCCTCAGGGGTTTCTGTTATTTTAACTCAGTCGCCATAGCAGCCAAGCTCCTGCAGCAGAGGCTCAATGTCAGTAAAATCCTCATCGTAGACTGGGTGAGTTTCTCAGTGGGATGTTTGTTACATGACAGCATACCTGTATGCACAGGTAGTGCATTGGTGGTCTATAGGTGCAACACAGAGCTATAGAGGACTGCATCTACATGCTGTAGACGTCTGCTCTCACTTGAAGGACAAAGAGTTGAGAGAGAAACTGATAACGTGGGCTAGCTACTCTTTGTTTCTCTTTATGCTCGTGTTGCATCCCAGAATAATCCCTACTATCCCTTGTTTCTTCAGAGAGAAAAAAATAAAATTTATAAGAAGGTATGACGGAGCTTTTGTCGTGTCCAGGAGCGGTGCTGTTCAGTGGCATCCCTGGCTGGTCACGGCCATTCCCCAAAGCCTTTGAAGGGCCTTTTAATTTCCTCTCTGTCTGTCACAGGGGGACGCTGAGTGCAGGCTCATTGTCATGGCACTCGCCTCCAGCCGCCGGGACATTTTTAGAAATTGTGTACTATAGCATTCATAGACATAGACAATGAGGTCATTTATAATTGACGCTTTTGGCAAAAGTGAGCAGTTGTTGAAGTCGAGTGTTTTATTGAATCACGCTGAATCCTTTTGTGACATCGCAACAGGCTGGAAGGAGATGATATAGTCTGGCAGTATAGGACTCTCTCTCTGCATCAGTCAGCTGGTCCAAGTGGAGGTGCAGAGATTGATGGTCCTGTTTCTGTGAATCTCATTAATTTCCTCAAACCTATTCATCATAATCCATCTTAATGACGAGGCAGTCTCTATGTGCCCCTGGTATTTGGTTTTTCTTTGACCGAAGAGATTTAACGGACAATTACACTGAAAATATTATTATATGCTTATTTTTTAATAACAATATGCCCATTATAATCTTTCCAGGATGTCCACCATGGCAATGGCACCCAGCAGGCCTTCTACGCTGACCCCAGTGTCCTTTACCTGTCCCTGCATCGTTACGATGATGGGAATTTCTTCCCGGGAAGTGGCGCACCCGATGAGGTAAAGACGACAAATGCTTTTAATAAACCTTTCAGACCCAGCCTTCGGTCAGCCCACACATAACAAACCCAGTCACGTGTGTTTGTGCTTCCTAGGTGGGCAGTGGAGCAGGTGAAGGTTTTAACGTGAACATGGCCTTTACTGGGGGACTGGACCCTCCTATGGGGGATGCAGAGTATCTAGCTGCATTCAGGTAAGACGGTGATGTCACTCACTGCAGTCTAATTCTTCCTGTCATAGCCTTGGAGTATGAAGTACAATGTGTAACAAATTACCTGTTGGTAGTTGTTAAGAACTTATGGTGCTCACCCTTATCCCATCTGATTCCCGTTAGGCGCGCTCCTATAACTATACATAAGCTTCCACAGATACAGGCATGGACTCGGTGCAGACATGTACCTGTCTCTCATACATTTTTAGTTCACACAGCTGGAAAGGAAAAGGCCTGGATTGGTTCCAGCGCTCTTTGAAGATGAGTCCATGTTTGCAACTGTCTGTCCATCTGGCCCGAGCCCGACACATCAAACCAACAGGCCACTGGCTCATCGCGGCTTTAGGCACGCAATCCCCCGGAAGTACACCTTAGCTTCTTAATGCACCCCAGAACGCAGGGTGCTCTCGCTCCCCATCTCTCTCCTTTGTATTCTTCTCTCTCTCCTCCTCATCCTCCTCTTTCTACCCTGATCTTTGCATCTGCGTTGATGACAGCCACGTAATGTATGTCATACTGCAGCTATTACTTATAATCTATGACTGAAGCCAGTAGCTGCTGCCTCATTCTCACTCCCTCTACCATCGTAGACGTGCTGCTCTCAGGAATTTATAAATAAATAAAACCACAAAAAGAGACTAGTAACCGTGCTCTGTATTAAATCACCTTTTAAATGTTAATGACTGTGTTGACAGTTGAGATGAATATAACTGAGAGCTCTCCAATACTAACAGCACAAGAGACCATTAGGAAGACCTTAAATTACTAAGTTATTACTTTTATAACTCTGTATTTATGTTTATTTGCGTTAGGAGGGGAAAGAATGAACCCTGCACACTCATTTCAAGTTTTAGAAATTCTTGAATAGTTCCAAAAATATAATCATGAAAACACAGTTAACTGAACCAAAGGGAACTTTCACTCAAACTCTGGCTTCCTGTAATTAGGAATTTGCCTCAGAAAAGAGAGTTCACGCTTTTTTTCCCTCATTTACAATTATTTAATATTTTATTTTACACTCTTAACGCACACTGGACTAACAGTGTTGCCGTCATCTGGATCAACTTTTCTTATGCCCTTGTTTCGTGTGCGTTTGTCCTGGAGTGATGAACACAGATATGTGCATTTGCATATCAGCCTGTGCATGCTGAGGTTGTTTATGCGATTGCGATTCAGCCTTCTTTGCGTGAAGCAGAATAGGAGCTTGGTGTTCATGAACCTCAGGTCCTGTCACCATTAATTCCCAGAGGCTCCAGAGGTATTGGACAATTTATATGCCCCACGGGGGCACCAGCAAACCTGTGCGCAGGTCATAGATCTGTCACAAACGCACACGCACGCACACACACACGCATGCGTGCATGCATAGTTTTTGCATGCACTCATTGTCAAACAAATGCATCATGCCCTGATTCAAATTTGCATGATTGTGTGCAAAATGTGCACAGTGAAACAGATGTGCAAATGCACACCTTTCATATCTGTTTGCTCACACATCTACAACCCAAAATCAACACCTGGTGAACACAGTTGCTCTTTCACTCTTATTACTTGTGTGTTTTGGTCTTTTCCTTCCTCTCTCTGTCTTGAGGAGGGGATGCGTGCCTCGCAGCCAGTACCTTCCCATTCCTCCTCTGGCCTGTGCCACGTTGCATTTGCAGGGGATCAAGTCTGAGCCTCCAGAAAGCACAGAGAAAAAAGATAAGAAAATTGTCCCTAATGAAAACCAGAAGCACCGTCTCTTTCCCCGTCTCTCTCTCTCTCTCTTCCTCTCTCACCCCCATCCCACCCACCCCCCTCTTTTTGCCGTGAACTTGGAAAGACGAGAGAGGAGGAGAATTAAATTTAATTCAAACCAGCTCTCCGCAGAGCCAGATGACAGGGCTTTGAAGTGTAAGTGTGCGTGTGTGAGTTTTTCGCTCTCTTATTCTCCCTCTTCTCCTGCTCTCCTGTTCATTTTTTATGAACGAAGGGGGGAAGCCTGCAGTTTAACCTTTTGCTTGCTGGTTTGACAAGTGCCGCTCCCTCTGAAGGATCTTTCTTTCTTTTTTTTTCGATGAGAATGAATTTCTCTGAGCTTTAAAGCCTACAAATATCTAATTTGGTGGTATTTTCATCTAGACCAGAGCCAGTCATCTTATACAAAATGATAGGATAGTAATACTTTTTTTTATTTATTTTTTTTATAAATTCTGTACATGACAGTACTGCTTTTCATGTTACAAAGCTGAAGTACATGGGATCACAGGGCATAATCAAGATCTGGCAATGTATAAATTCAGGACTAGATTAATTACATACAGATGTGTAGTCCCGAGAGAGGAAGTTTTTCTTGGCTCAAAAAAATGACAGCTATGCCGAGACCTATTGCCGCGTTAACTTTTTCGAGTGTGCACACTTGATATCATGTTGGGTGACATGTGCCAAATACTAAAAGTGCTCACTGGAATCAGACAAGGAGAAATTACTTGGAGCAGAGTAAATGACAAAAAGTGTGCATTATAAGGTTGAGCATGGTCAAGTCTTTTAAAGCGGTGCCAATCGAAGATATGTGTTCGCCTCCACAGATTTTACGAATGGAGATCTGTTCATACAGCTGAGGGAATGCTCCTCAGTCTGTGGACAGGAGCTCCTTCTCTCTGAAAAGACTGAGGAAATACCCCCAGTGACGTCGCCAGGCTTATTCTAGCTTGCAGAAACGGGAAGTGTAGGATCCGTTGTTTTCGAACCTGAGCTCCGCTGCATCTATTTTGAGTATTCTTATGAAAGCCATCTCATAGCGGCGATAAAGTGCTGAAGTGCAACAGCCATTCAGCATTCCTTTGTGCTCTCTGTGCATGCAGACTCAGCTGCACCTGTTGCTAGGTAAGCCAAACAATGCTAAACAAAAGTTTAGACCACATAGCTGTCAAGTAATTGCATTTGTAGTTAAATGTAACTGGGAGACAGCCAGCAGTGGTTTAGATTTCAGCCTCTTTGGTCAGGATGTCCCATCGCTTACGGCTCAGTCGTAAACTCTCCCCTCCCTTAATTAACAAAAAGTCTTTTTCATCTCAGCGTGCATAGCCTCTGATTCACGCACAATTAGCCCTTCTCAAAACCACTTACTTCCCTCTCTGCCAGCCTGGTAATTGATCACTGTGGCTTTTTATTTGTTTAAATGTCAGGATATTATTCCAGTGGGGTGGGGTGTGGAACTGTCGACACCAGCAGTTTTCAGCATTGTGACCAGAACTAGTTGCTGTCTGTGCTCAAGGTTGGAGGGGAGAGGGTGGAGGAGCCCTTGGTGGTTGAGGCAGTCAAGGTTTCCCACCAAGTCGTGTGTCAGGCCACATAAGCGTCTGTGGCAGGCTTCTTTTAGTGTGGGGTCTTTATGGCCCCCGAATGTTAATGGGCCAAGGTTGTATGCTTGAATAAATGTAGCAGTTAGTCAGAAGGTTTAGCAAAAGTCCTTTTTAATTTAACATAAATCCAAACATAATTATCTGTGTTGCTCGTGTATACGATTGTGTTGTTTACGCCTGTCTGACTTGAAGTATATGAAAGGCTGGAAAACAACAAAAAAAAGATGCAGTATGTCACGTATTTTGCCTCATTCATCCACTTTTCATTTATGTCTTTACTCGATTAAGTTCACTTTGTTTTTCATCCTATTCGGCCTGACGTTTTCATCTGAAGCGCTGCCAGCTGCACGATAGCGCACAGTGACGCTCACACTCTGCGTATACTTACTGTCTGGGACTCCCAAAAACCTCCCAGTGCTACCTCCCGCCTCTCCCTCAGACAGCTGTGTGTATGTAGGAGTGTTGTGTTGTGGTGGGGGGTGGGGTGCGCACAGCTAAGGGTTATAATTTGGTGGTGAGCAAGAGATGGAAAAACCTGCGGCCTACGGAGCTCAGGGCACGCTGTTCACCCACAGCTGGCAAACCAACACCGTGTTCCTGAGGTCAGCAAAGTACAGGGGACCTACAACGAAACCCTGTGGTACTCCATCAGTCACAGACCTCACTAAAACGCTACTTGCCCAAATATCCCAGGCCCCAGAAAAATTGTTGTGCCATGCCAGAGGTCCCACAGCGAATGACAGAGACACTTGTTTTGCCATCTGGGAAGTCCTATTTATGAACTCAGTTAGACATTGTAAATTATGCTAAACCAGAATGCTATGTCACATGATATGTCTGTGCCCCTCCTGTTATTACTAGTTCAAGGATTGATTATTACAGGTTCATAATTTATGGAAACCCCATAAATATCTAACGTTTTCACTTCTTAAAAGTTGTATTATTGTTATTTTGTGATAGGACGACAAAAAAAGCTAAATATAAACAACTCTAATCTTATTTTATCTAATCTGCTTGGTCAAAAACCCTTTCTTCAAAACAAGGTCATCCTATAAACCCGACTGGATTTTCCAGCCACAGCTTGCAGTGAATCATTCCACACTATCCCACTGTTGATTTGATTTCTGTGTATGACACATTGCACACAAGCAGTCAGATGAAGGTTGTGCACAAGCAGCCCTCATTCACCACACCCATCCAGTCTTAGTTATCCTCCGTACTTAACACGCATACACATATGCAATTATATCTGTCCTTCCGTTTTTCCTTTTTACTTAAGGTTCATGCGGTGCATTGCACTAAATTTCCAAAACTTCCACTTCAAACATTTATGTGGCAGTTTTCCTTACCACACACATACTGTACAAACAAACTGATTAGTTGGATGTTTGCTTTGAAAACCATGAAATGGAGAATTTTTTTTTTTAAAAATACTGCAATTCATTGACAGTGCGAGTGAATTGTAGCATCCCCAGAGTGGAAGAAAGCAACATCACGAGGGCACTAAGAACACTGAAGGCATTTCTTAGTATATTGATTTTATAGCAGTCCTTGTTACTCTTCTTTTAGCCATCAGAGCTAACACAATACTGATACAAAGCCATATAGCAGTCCCTATATGCCTAAAGACGATGGCAGTTATTAACATAGTTTTCAGCAGCTCTACATACTATTATTATCACTTTGTCCTTCAGATCAGTCCCTCGATCTCAAAGCAGAGGTCAAATCTGACATGATACTTTAAGTCTATATATGGTACGTTCTATAAGCTGCCAATTTATAATAATTTTTGTCAATTTTCAAACAATAAATCATCAAGTTAACCTTGAAGACCTTGGTACATCTAACCCAAATTTTAATGGATTATAAACATGACTGCAACGTTCAACCTTCCGAGCTATCGTGTTTAATAACCTTGGCTGAGGTAATCGTTATTTGGTATTTATAAGTCTGTCAGACCTGAGTTTGTTGATGTGAGCACTTTGGTTTTTGTGCTTCTTTAATGTCCACGTATGCTTTGTTGTGAGTTCCTTATCCTTTGACACAGTTTCATGTATTGGAAATGTGGCGGTGGGAAAAACGAACTGTTTATATTCACATGGGACAGCTTCTAATAGTGTTATAATTTAATCTTGAAATCTCAGGCTTGGTGGTTTTGATTCTCCTTTTGGTGGTTTGAGCTGCATTTCTTTCTAATCTAAAGTATTTGCTGTATTTAATGCATTTGTTTTTAAAAAAAAATACATGTTTCATACAGTCACGCTGTCATTTAGATCAAATATTAACCATATGTGGAAGTTCAAGAATATCCGGTTGCAAGAATGCCAGTGAAATGTAGTGTGACACTTTTGATAGCCTTGCTTGAAAAATATAATATAATAGTGAGAATTTTCCACAAGGCTGTGTGACAAAATCTAACCTCACTTATCACCAAGGTTTTTGTGATGTTTTTGAGAAACACTAGACTTTAAAATTACTTCTGGTTTCTGGCCTTCCTGTGTGGGGCAGCAAGCCAAATAAGAAGCATGCAGATGCTGATGTGTAAGGTCGAAATAATATAGACATCAGAAGCTGAAAACCTTTGACTGACTGAGATTTAACTAAAGTGTTTTTACGGATACATTACGTTGCCTATTGTTTCTCCAGGACGGTGGTCATGCCTATTGCCAATGAGTTTGCGCCTGATATGGTTCTGGTATCTTCTGGCTTTGATGCAGTAGATGGACATGCTCCACCGCTGGGAGGATACAAACTGACAGCCAAATGTAAGTGCTGATTCAAACTGTCCATTTCATTTCTTCTAAACCTGTTTTTTCTTTTTCCTATGAGCTGAATCATATATGCACATCTTAAGGCGTGCACCACGTCACTCGTGCCGTATGCTGTGTGATGCTACACTGCTTTCAATGCTAGGAAAGACTCAAAAACATAAACTCGACCCTTTTGTGTGCAGTGTGCATATCTGACTTACATATTCAGATAGAGACCCTGGCGTGACAGCAAAGAGCTTTTCTAAAACCATCCAGCAGATCTCAAATAAGAGCTAGGGGTCTTTGTTGTCAAAGAGGGGGGGTTATGGGTGGGTTAAAGAGGATTGCAGGAAGAGGGGATATGGTAGAATTTAGGGGGACTAAAGTATGGCTGAATACATATATAAGAACGCCCCTCATCCTGGGAGGAAAAACATCAAAGGCTGTGACCAAGACTAAACGCAAAGCCACATTTATTAAAATTAAACCTGGCTTATATTAGGCTTGTTTTTTGCCCCCCAGTAAATCCACAGTGCACTCGCTTTCTCTTTTCCTCTGTGATGCATTCACCCTTTCCTTCATCCACGCTCCAGCCCCTTTTTTTTTCTTTGATCAATATCCAGAAAGGAAGTTAGAGGCTGAATACCATTTCATTCTTCTTCTTTCTTTCTTTTCTTGCTCTTTCTCTCTCCCTCCCTTTGCCATTTCTGCTGTGATTTCCTGTCTGTCCAGGCTTTGGCTACCTGACCAGGCAGCTGATGGGTCTGGCAGGCGGTCGGCTGGTGCTTGCCTTGGAGGGGGGTCACGACCTCACAGCCATATGTGATGCCTCTGAAGCCTGCATCTCTGCTCTGCTTGGCAATGAGGTAAGATGTGCAGAGAGAGAAGGAGAGAATACTTTAAATATTTGTATAAAGTATTGTCAAACTGTTCTTGATCCGCACATTAAAGATGACCGTTTGGCTGTGTCAGCTGATATGTGATGATATGTGAAGCACTCATATAATTCTTGCACTGGAGTTTGAGCTCCAGTGTAAGTAGGCGGTTCAGTAACACTGCAGACTTTTTGTGTACACTTTAAATGAATGACACTAAAACAAAAAGTGTTACAAATGAATCACTGAGCGATGATTTAGGTTCTTGATTTGCTGTTATAATGTTTTAGGATTCAATATTTAAGTGTTTGTCATGTATTTTCTTACATCGCACATAACAGCAGTGTTTTAGTTCATAGTCCCTGCTGAAGGATGCAGGGACTACTGCACTGTTTGTACAATTCTGCAACAACAGCAGGCTGATTTTTATTTTTAACTCATCCAAGCCCAAGCTCTTCACATTTTCTTCATCTACCCCACCACTCAGACAGGAAGTGAGCACCAAACACACACATACGTCAGACGGAGGATTTCCAGGCAGAAGGTTAATTGTGGAGTGTGTAGGTTGTGGAGTGGAGCAGCTCTGTGATTCATGGCTACCCACAGATTTCTTCTAGCTGGTGTCTGATTCATTGCAAAAGAACCACCGAACCGCGTGTTTCAAGTGGAGATTCTTGAGAGACACTTTACATCGAGGATTAATATCCAGACTGACATATATTAACATTTATTTTTAGAAATCAAACAATCTAAACTGGAGTCTTAGACACACGCACAGGCTCAGATCGTTGTCATTGGAGTTGTTTCTGTTCCTGCTAAAACCGTCATCTTCTGCAGTTCTGCAGCATTAGCAGTATAGAGTACCTTGAAACACAAATACTTACATCAACCATGTGATGTAACAGTGTATTGATGCAGTGTTATTAACATTTTCCTCGGGACACTTTAATGCAAAATACTAAAAAGCAATAATAATTAAAAATGTACTTTTATTTTATAAACTCTAAACAAAGCCTGCATGAAAAACAAAATAAAAATGGCGTTTCTAAAAAGAATCGTAAAGTGCATCGCGAGCACGTTGGCGATGTTTTAACCGCTGACTAAACAGATCAAAGAAAGCTTCCAGCTCATGGGAAACGCCTGAACTTGGAGGCTAAATGTAATAACCTGCCTCCCCGTACCTGCATTTTGCCCACCAATGACTTGAAGCTGCAGTACATAGCACTGCCATTACATCTGTTAAAGCTTCAGGAATTTAAGGACACTTCAGAAGGGCGGATGCTTTTTGCTGTCACGAAAGTTTGTGCACATGACTTCCAGCTTGAAGGACACTTTCGTTACTCACGGTACCGCCCTGAAGCAAAAATAATATTTCAGGCCAGGGGCTTTGCTTCTAAGGTTTCAGCCGCCTGTAGAGCACCAGTCTCAGCAGGGGTTTGGAGGAGGTACCTGGACGAGTGCCATGGGGAGCTGAAAATTCGAAAATAGGCAGGAGGCAGGGAGCGTCAATTGCCTCGGCTCTGCAGGGCATCCCTCTCACCCGGGGCCCTGTCACTGATACACATCTGAAAGTGGTTACCCTCACACCTCTGCAAGCAGGGTCAGCCTTGGTCTTGGAATCTGATAATAAAAGGAAATGGAGTAATCATTTGAAGTCGGGAGGGAGGAAGCTATTGTTATTAAGACGTGTGTAAGTATTGTTGTACCTGTGCAGGTCTTCAGAGTCTTTTTCAATAAACCTGGCAACTATACACAAGTCCCAACAACTTGGCTTCATCTTTAATTTAAAAAACAAAATCTTGAATAATGATTTTAAATATATATATAGATATATGGCAGGAGCCTGACAGGACATGTTGTACAGAAGGCCTTACTGGCATGTGTTGAATGGGCAGACTGGTTTGAGTAAAGTTGTGATGAACACAATGATGTTTTTCCCTTACAAAGATAGAACTAGAGTTTGCATGACCTGCTCCGGCTGGCTCTTTGGCAGCAAGTGATGTCAGCTGTTTGAAAAAAGGCAGCTCACACAGTTGTTTGGTGCTTTGATAGCTGATAGCAAAGAAGAAAAAGTAGACTAAAATGTCCCTGATCAGATCAAAACAGCAGGAAGCAAATGTTTCTAACGTAATCTCAGCAAACGTTTCTGTAATGGACAAGGAATGTTGATGGAAAACGTCAGTGGGGGATGGAGCTGGAGGGAAAGGATGGAGGCCTGTTTTTTTGTTTTGTTTTTCTGTCCTGGTAATGGCAAAAAAAAAGGTTTAGGAACAGTGAAGGCTTGCCAACCAGGCTTTGGGTCCAAGGCCAGCTGGGCATCAAATGAATAACAGTCAGAAAAAAGCTTCCTTTTTTTTTGAATGACTGAGTACTTTCTTTCTCTTTCTTTGAGACTGTTTCAGTTTGTGCATGTGTGCGTGTTGGAGGGGTGGACTGAGGCATCACTGCTGGTCAGCTGTGCATTTGTTTATGTTGCTTCGAGCTGCCTGGGGGGGGCGAGGGGTTTGTCTGCAGGTATCATGAACCCAATACACGACTATAACTGAAACACTGTTCATGCTGTTGGTGCTCTGTAGTTGACCATTATGGACTGGGAGGTAATGCGCAGGTACTGCAAAAGACTCTGTTATACATCCTCTTCTCTTCCCCTGTGTCTCGTACTTTCTGTGTTTTACTCGAACTTGTGTGAGAGTTCTAGCCGTACTTTCTTTGGCAGGTTCAGACAAGCTTTGCTATAATGAGTATTGGGTTTCTTTTGAAAGCAGCTCAAATTAGCTGGTGGGAAGAGTTAGGGAAGAAAATTGCTGAATGGACTTTACAGGCTGTTTTATTCAGTCGCACTGCTCTAATGCATAATGCTGAAGTTTCTCTAGTTAAATAGCTCATGAATGATGCATTGGCAGCTCCACTAGTCAACTCTGAACTCTGGACTAATTGATGATTGCTCACAAACAGATGTTGGCCCAGCTCGAACCACGGTTGTTAGCAATTATTTGATAAACAACTGGCTAATATGCTAATTGTTACCAGCTGTCAATGAGGTTATTTTGTGCGTTTACACTCCAGTTACAGTAAGACGTTCGACTTCACCTGTCCCCCGCTTTGGATCTGACTGTTCCCCCACTAGAGCAAGGCTAACCCACACCTTTTTTCCAAAAAAGGTGGCCCGCTTTGCACAGTACACATCATTTCCTTGTTTACTTAGCATAACATAATCAACTGGTTTTAGCGACCGCCGACACATGCACATATACACAACAGTAAACAATGGATGCCTTGTGCACTTTTTCTTTGTTGAACAAGTGGAATTCCTCCTCTTTCCACTGTTTTGGTTTCAGCCTCTCTTAGGAATGTTTTTACCGGGCCGCGTTCCTTTCGCTCAGCTCATGGCTTTCCATGGTGTCTCAGTTCCTTTGGGCAGGAGTTTTTGTATTTTGGACCGCTGTGTCACAGAGCGATGTAGACCTCCTCAGAGATTATTCAAACCATCATTCTCTCGCACTTATCGATCAAAGACTGCGACACATTTATATTGACACCAAGATCCAGACATCTGGTCAAGGCCAGTACCACCAACTCAAATAAACAGAATTACCATCACAGAGGATCTCCTGGAGAAAGTTGGGCTTGTGTTAGAGTACGCTTGCATATCTGTATGCGTGTGTATATGTGCGTTTGCCACACCTGCTGGGTGGGGCCCCTGGACTACCCTGACAAGAGCCATTAAAGTTTATAAGCGTGAGGCCCAGCTGTCAATCAAGCTGACAGACTGCCCTCGTCCAACTCTGCTCTGACGTGAACCTCACGAAACCCCAGAGAACCCCTGACCTCGCTCTGACAGGGAGCTGACGCACGCTGGATTTGCACGGGCTGGGTAGTTCTGGGCTGGAACTGGCTTGGGTTATGGCGGGTAGATGGTGGCTGTAGCCTGGAGGTTGGAGGAGTTAGTTTTGACTAAAAGATTAATGATTTCAGTCTACAGACTTGGAAATTTTGAGATGGGATAATAAGTACTGCTTTTTCCTTCTCCGCCACAACTAAAGTAATGTTACACCACTTTTAAGGAGCAGAGCTGCATACAACTCGGGTCATTTCATGTGCTTCTCTCCCTCGTGTCTTTGTCCAGTCAGTTAAATGACATTTGAAATTACTGTATCACATAAATGTGATTTCATTTCTGTGAAATGGCAACACCAGAGAAATAATCCAGACATTTATTCCGAGTTCAGCTCTGTTGAAGAGGCGGGATATGAAGGAGAGCCGGCTGACACGGGTTGACGCGTACGTCATTGCCAGACTAAATGGGGCGCTGTAGAACCGAACCTTCTCCGGTAATTGAGCTCCATGGCAGCAGCTCGTTCTCGTAGCTGGGCCTCACTGCTGTACCTATAACGGCAGCGAGGCAGATCTGTCACTGAATTTTAGGTTAGTGTTGAGGAAAGGTGTATTTTAACCCTAAATTGAAGCAAGTTGTGAATTAAAATGAAATAAGAAGTGAACGGAAAGGAAACTAAGAGGCAACTGAAAACCATCAGCAAGGTCCCGAACGGCCCTTTGGTCCGTTGAGGGTTTTGTTTGGATTTAAACAGTATGGAAAAGTAAGGCCGGCTTTGACTTATTACATAGATAAATAGTTGGAGTTGATGGACGGTCATTAAGCTTTAGGAAGCTTAATGACCATCCATTGTTGCTGTATGTTACTCTGGATGAAAGTGTTGGTCAAATATTAAATAGGCCAATGAAAATATTGTGCTAAAACTGTGTGTGTGTGTGTGTGTGAGCGACCTCTGTCCATTCTTCATTGCATGATGTAGCCTGTCGTGCCACAGTAGGATTAAAGTATCCCTCTCCCCAGACTGCCTTTTCCCTCTTCCCTCTGAACTCCTCCCACACACTATTTGTTTTAATTATAAGAAAACTTCCAGCCTCGGCCAAGCGAGACCAACCGACAGTGACTTTTTCCTCTTCTCTCTGGCATTCTGCTCACAAATCTCAGGCCAAACTGTTTTTCTTTCTCTCCGTGTCTCTCTTTACATGACTCTCAGTCGGTGCTTTATTCCGTTGGGGTTATGACTGAGCAGAAAAGGGATGCATGTTGTCTGTGGTGGAATGTGGAGCTGAATGAGCCTATTTGACAAAATGGGATGAGAAAGTGTCGTATGTGCAGTTGGCCAAAAGGGAAATTGAATCATTCCGGGTTGGGAATGCACTTTGGGGAATAGCCCTGTTTTCTGTGTGTTGCGGCTTGGAGCTGAGCTCTCTGAGGTGCATTTTTCGTGCGTGCACGTGTGTGCCAGTGCGAGCGCTTGGGCGAACTGGCAGTTTCTGCTTTTATGCATCTGTTGCACTAGCCTGTGTCCTTGGAGTGGGACGCTGTACAAAGCACGCATTGTCGATTGTGTCAAAGAGTAGCAAAGCTGCCGATGAGTGGGAGGTGTGCATCTGCAGGCCTATTTTCTATTGTGTCAGCAGCTCAAACTTGCTCCCCACCTCTTGGATTGACTCAACTGTGGGCCGTGGGCCACAATCAAAAATGATCCCCTAAACCTGGTGGGACTCGCATTAGTTCAAGTGAAGTTTTGGAGGGAGGCTTCTGAACAGCTGTCAGTCACATTTATAGAAAGGCCTATCTCGCCATATTCAACTCACCAGAAGAAACGCTGTGATACATTTAAAGCGCTTAACCGATGTTCCCAGTAGACTTAGCTTCATTGCCAAGTTAGAGCAGTTTTATTTCAGCAAAGGTGCCATAAGTAGTCTGACAGATGATGGTTCAGCGCTGATACTGTAAAAATGTGCAGGGCCATTGTCTTGTTTCGTTTTTCTTTTGATAGACAAAAACATTTCATGCTTAATTTTTCTATCGTTTTCTGTTCCTTTCAGTTGGACCCCATTCCCGATGAGGTGCTGCAGCAGAGACCAAATGCGAATGCGGTACGGTCTATGGAGAAAGTAATCGAATTTCACAGTGAGTAGATCTTTTACATTTTTTTTAGCATTATGTATTTGCTTTATCCTGCTGGCATTATAAACAATAATTAGGTGTAACTAGCTTCCCTAAGGGTAAGTCAGGTAGTTGGTAAGCAAAGCTTCTAAATGCTAAACTTCACATTCAAACCCAGTTAGCTGAACATATTATATCTCTGCACACACTCTATCTGCATTTCGTTATTAGGTAAATACTGGTGCTCACTGCAACGTTCTGCCTCCTCGCTGGGTTATTCTTTGAGTGAGTCCCTCAAGCGTGAAGCAGAGGAAGCTGAAACTGTTTCTGCCATGGCCTCATTGTCTTTTGCAAACAAGCACGTTGGAAAGAGGTAAGTCGTCGTCATTTACAGTCACTGGTTTACATTAGTGTACATTTGGCTTTGGCTCAGGAGGTAAAGCAGGTCATCACGATACCGCAACACCAGACCCAGAGTTTCCCCCGAAGAAGCATTGCTTGTTTAGAGGGATTGCCAAGAAAAAGCCTAAAGTTAGGTTTACAAAGTTGCTTCTGAACAACAGGTGTTTGCCCATAATGCACAGCACCTTGTTTAATGAAAACAAACACGGCACATCAGCACAAACGCCTCACACCAAGTGTCAGCACGGTGGGGGAGCTTGTTTTTCAGTCAGAGGACATTGGGAATCTTGTAGTTAGAATTAAATGTGAGGCTACAGTAAAACCTTTGCCCCGACTGGGCCAGGACACAACAATGATCCCAAGCACAATGGGATCGCTGAAAAAGAAAAGAATCAAAGTGCTGCAGTGGCCCAGTCAAAGTCCAAAGTGATTGAAACGCTGCTGTGAGAGATAAATGAATCAATGAACTGCAAATCTAAAAAAAAAACTGAAGCAAAGCTGCAAAGAAGAGTGAGCCAAAATTCCTTCACGATGTGAGAGAAGGAAAAAGTCAAACAGAAAATGATAACTTGTAGTTGTTGCTTCAACACGCTACTGAATCCTGTGAAAACTTTCTTTTACAGGACTCTTTCAACGCAGCCTTTTCCTGCTGTAACATTATATGTTGTATTTGTTGTTAATTAGTTTAAACAGTTCATCTGTTACTTCTCCTTTGTTCATAGTGTTATCTTTTTTTAACAGGGCTGCAGAGGAACCAATGGAAGAGGAAGCTCCTATGTAAAGAAACATCCACGACCTTTTTGATCACTCACACTCGTCTGTGGCATTTTATCGTTACAAAAATGGACCACTGAAGATGAGCAACACTTTTGCTGATCAGCGGTGCACTGAGCAATCAGCATAAATGCATTGCATTGCACTTAAAGACTTTTGGATATACGATTGTTTCAGCTATCCCGTAATGACAACCTCCAGTGCCAGTGCTTTTAAAACACTAGACAGACATACTTTTGATTGCCAGTGAGAACCATGCAGAGGACCTACAGTCATCTACTCTTCATGTAATTCTGCTCTGTCCCTGCTTTATCTTCATCTCTTCGCTTTCGTGAAGACCACCATAGCTATTGTGATTGTTACTCTGGACTAAAGATGGGTTCTTGCTCTTTCCAGATATCTAAACGAGAGGGAAAAAAACGTCAGTTTTCCATGTTGCTGAAGGTTAGAGATGAGAAAGGTCACAAACCTGTTAGAGTAAAAGACATTTGTGCCTTTCCCCCCACCCCGTCTAAACTTGGTGGAATTTTTTTGAACTCCACTGGAAGAGTTTTGCCTTAAAAATAGTTTTGGGACTGAGGCCTCTTCTCCCCAAGCCCTCACACATTTCTATCCTGGCAAGACATCCACTGCCTGCATGTTGTTGGCACATAGACTGAAGGACTTTGGCATGTTTACCTATAATTCCCTGCAACCAGCCTACTGTCTCTGCCCCCACCTTTTCCCCTCATTTTCAGTGTCAGCTTGGAAGGTAGTTCCCAGCCACAAGTTGGAGGTGGCTCCTTTAAAAAGGAAATTAAGAGTTGGAATTGTATCGTTTAGTCACATAGCCACCAGTTCTTCTTTGTCAGAGAAAGATATACGTAGCATGCACTTTACTGGAGCACTTGGACTTATATCGTATGTAGTAGTTACATAAAAATGAAGCCAAAGCATGACAGATTATTGTCTCTGTAGAGTATAACCACTTACCGCCCCACACATATAACAACGACTGAGCAGTGTCGGTATTTACATTAGAATTTGTCTCACTTTTTCAGACATTTGCCGAATGGAAATAAACTAATCTCACATGGGCTCATTTGTTGAACCAGCCCTCTCTTTAAGACAAGGACCATACCACCTGGGATTTTCCAGAGGGGTGTTCTGGAGCTTTCAGAGCTGGCCTAACATCTTTCGATCCTTTCGATCGAGAACATCTGCTTTGCAAATGTCAGGTGATACGAGGCAGGTGTGAATGTTTCTGCCTCTTCGTATACAATAAAGCACAAACTGTTCTCTCTATATTTTTTTAATAGTATGCAAACATTTTTAGGTGTTCTGCATTATAAAATGCAGTCCTCTTTTTGACAGCCCGTGGCTCAAATGCACATATTTGAGCTTTAAATAGCACATGTAGCTCAGCCTGTCCTCCTGGATTCTGAATCGTTTTGTTAGGCCGGGTCTCGTTACTAATCTGAGCATCAAATCTTTTTGAATCAGCATTTTTATATGTTGTAATATTTTAGAAGACAAGATGTAAAATTTTCCTCCTCTGACTTTTTTTGAAGTCAAGCCCATGATATAGCTCCCAGTCGCTCTGCACCACACACACAGCCAGCAGCTAGGTCGTAGTAGTTTGTTGAATTTAATAATTAAACAGTCCCAGTTTAGGAGACTAGTGGCCCCTCTGATCAACATGCTAACTTCCTTCCAGCTTGTGTTTGGCCCTCTGGGCAACTACCTTCTGCTGCCTTTATTTGACCTAAAAACTAATCGTGTCTTTAATGTCGTTTTTAAGTGAACAGGAAACGGAGTGCTGTGGTATTTACTGTTATTTACTGTACATAGGACACTGATCTCCTGAGTATTCCTGCCACACACATTCACTATTTTTGTGGTTTGTTTTCCTCTCTTTCGCTTTTTTCTGCTTTTGAGCTCTAGTGACTTATTTTTGTACAATTTTCCTGTTGTTTTGTGCGTGTTGTCCACTCTCTGTTTCTCTGTTATGTTGTAAAGCTGACATACTTCACAGCAGGTGAGGGTTCAGACTCGTTTTTAGTGGACGTTACATGAGTACGTTTTCTGGGTTCAGGGTTTTTGCGGGAGTGTTGGGATTCAAATGTTTCTACTTTGTATAATGATGGACAATTGTGTATTTACTGTCTGTTCATAGTAGATTTATATATAAAAAGAAATGAGTATATTATATATCTATACATTACAAAATGCTACGATCTTGTTTTTGAAGTTGGTATTGAAAAACAATACTCTCTGTGGGTCTTAGTTACTGAAGGCACCTTTTGCTGTTGATCATGTGTTGAGCAGCATCTTTCTGGCTGTTTTTTGTCTCTCAGCAGTAATGACTTTTTTGTTGTCTGTTTTGTTTATTTCATTAGTTACCCCATTGGTACCATAACACTGTTACAGTAGGTGTGCAGTCACCCTCTGCTCAGCCTTGCATTTTAATGCACATATTTGTCAGATTCCATACCTTTTCTTTCTCGTGCAGATGTTCTTGCGCGCATATCTTGCCTGGCATCTGTTAAGTGTCAGTATTTCAAGAAATTTGAGTCTTTTTTTTTTTTGTTCCTCTTTGTTAAAGATTATCATCTGACGTATTTGAAAGAATAGGAAGAATAGCGAGGGCGGATTAGAATTGGAACACAGCCATTGCTTTTCCCCCCCTGTGTTAAATCACCACGACGGGCCTTGCAAATGGTTTTGTATGATCAACGTTTATTTCCTTATCAGGCCAAGTATGCTTAGTTTTAATTTAAATTAACATTTTTCAAGTTCACAGCTGAAGTTTCATCAGCTTTGGTATGCAAGTTATGTTTCTGTATCTAAAAATCACAGTTTGGTCACAGTAACAGCCAAGCAGGACCGAGGTATCGATGCCTTAAAAAAAAACAGGAAAAAACACGTTTGATTTTCTTTTTTTGGGGGGGAATTTCAATCAGACGTACAAGAAATAAATTTGCTTATTTTAACTGAATGTATCTAGCAGAGAGATCTTCCCTCTCCTTACTAACGCACCACTAATGTCTTTAAGTCTCGAATCTTTTCCGTAATTTTTGTAGTTGAGATATGGATATGGTAGATTGTTTCCGCCATCATCTTTTTTTAGTAAATTTCTAAAGATAATATCTATACCAATACAGTTTGCATTAAATCAAGTAAATCAAGTAAATTCTGCCAAAACAAAACCTCTGGTCTGGTTGCAGCAGGGCATCTTTTATTATAATGTTTTAGCTTTTTCTGTACATTCCCTTTTTATGAGACACACATTGTTTTCTCCTCCTTTGTAGATGTTGGCCAGCTTCTTTGTGTGTGTGATAGTTGCGTACTTTCATAGTCGGGATATGAAAATGCATATAATCGGGCTATCCTGAATATGACCTCAGCTGGGATATGCTGACATCTCGGCTCATTTTAACACACTTGAAGAGATGCCTTTCAGTAACCCAGCCCAGAACATTCCCAGAACCTTTGCACAACAGTGCCAGTCATGGCTTTTCTTCTGTTTAATGCTTTCGTTTCTCAAACGCTGCCAAAACTAGCACTGTCTGGCTACTCTGGCCATCTGTCTTCACTGTTAGTCTTAAAACAATGTCCAGTAACCAAAAAGAAAAAAGCAGCATTCCATTTTGGTGTAATTTCCATTTATTATAAGGTAAATCTTTTTTTTTTA